TGATAAAAAAAAAAAAAAAAGTTAATAATAATAAAAATATAATAAATAGAAAATAAAAATAAGAGAATTTAGAGAAATAAACACATAGCAGAGGCTCTTTCCACTCTCACTCCAATCACCCCCTTTTGCCATATCTATTTCTGAAGAGGATAACTCCCAAAGCTCTGTTCCTCACCCGATCTCGCAATATCTGAGTTATCTGTTTTGTGCAGCCTAACCCCATAAACTGTAAAGCTTCAATCTTTATTCTTTTTTTCTTTATTAAGCTTTGAATTGTTGATGTTCATATAGAAGCCCTAGTTCTTGAGACCTCGAAGTTTAAATTCTTCCACTTTCACTTGTTCGCCGACTGTTTTGCTGATTATCGCAACCCTTTTATTCTCGATTTGGATCTCCTCAATTTCAACTTTTTTGATACCCCTTTTCGATTGAAAACCCTAGACGTTAATCGCTCGACCCCAAAATGACGACTCGCGGGAGCAGATCGGAGAAGGTGAAGCGAATATTCCAGCAATTCGACCTTAATCGGGACGGCGGCCTGAACCGGGATGAGATGGCGGCCCTGGTGGTGGCCGTGAACCCCCGGGTCAAGTTCAGCGACGAGCAGATCAGCGCCATCCTCGACGAGGTCTTCCGCACCTACGGCGAGTTCATCGACGGCGAGAAGGGCCTCACCTTCGACGGCCTCCTCCGCACCTACGATGACGGCGCTGGTGACGTGGACCGAGATTTCGATGCCCTCGGCCTCGACCTCAAGCCTCCGGAGGACAAAAACGGAATTTCGCAAGCTTCGGAGGAGGCAGCTGCTTCTTCCTCCTCTGTGGTCGACGATCGTCTCATGGAGCCCCACAAGAAGCAACGTACGGCCGCTTGGGCTGCCAGCCCGAACCACGGGATCGTGTTCGACGACACCTGGAAGCTTGTGGACGACCTCGAGATTCTGATCAAGAGATTGAAAACGAAGCAGATGAAGGATGGGAAGATCAAGAATGATAATTCAGATGTTTTTTCAGATCCCGGATGGTCTAGAGAGCTCGGCCCATCTAGTGAGATCCTCGAAAAAAGGGTGATTTGGGACGAAACTGGGCCCGACTATGCAGCCTTTGTGAAAGAGCTGGGAGTTTTGAGGTCGCGGGCCGACAGGGCCCGGTCAAGGGCGGAGGCCTTTGATGGACAGATGGCAATCGGCCGAGTCTTGTACGAGAACCATCTGTTTAAGGAGGCATTAGTGAGTTTCAAAAGGGCCTGTGAGCTGACTCCCTTTGATGTGAAGCCTCATTTTAGGACAGGGAACTGTCTTTACGTGCTCGGAAAGCATACCGAGGCAAAAGGCGAGTTTTTTCTCGCGTTAGAAGCAGCTGAGGCCGGTGGGAATCAGTGGGCCTATCTGTTGCCTCAAATACATGTAAATTTAGGCATAGCTCTTGAGGGAGAAGGTATGGTTCTAAGTGCTTGTGAGCATTATCGTGAGGCTGCTATCTTGTGTCCCACTCATTACAGGGCTTTGAAGCTATTGGGCAGTGCTCTTTTTGGGGTGGGTGAGTATAAAGCGGCTATTAAGGCCTTGGAAGAGGCTATTTACATGAAAAACGATTATGCGGATGCACATTGTGATCTTGCTTCGGCTTTGCATGCAGTGGGTGATGATGAGAATGCGGTTAAGGAGTTTCAGAAGGCAATTGATCTGAAACCGGGCCATGTGGATGCTCTTTATAATTTGGGCGGGCTTTATATGGATATGGGTAGGTATCAACGGGCTTCGGAGATGTACACTAGGGTTTTGAGCGTGTGGCCGAGCCATTGGAGGGCACAGCTTAATAAAGCTGTCTCTTTGTTAGGAGCTGGGGAGACTGATGAAGCCAGAAAGGCCTTAAAGGAAGCTTTTAAAATGACGAACAGAGTCGAATTGCACGACGCTATATTGCACTTGAAGCAACTGCAGAAGAGAAAATTGAGGGGTAATAACGGTGGTAATAACGAGGCAGCCTTTATAACTATCGAGCCGTCGAAATTCAAGACGGTGGGCGAAAAAACCACTTTGAGGCCCGAATTAGCCATTGCTCTTGATATTCGGGCCTTTCAGAGGATCACTCGATTGAATAGGTGTGAGGTTGAGCTGATAAAGAAGGAAATGAGCGAAGGAGACGTGCCTATTTCATACTCGGGAAGTGGGGTGCCTGAAAAGTCGATTCGGAAGGCTTCGTTAGAAGGAATTCTTGCCAAGTTGCTGAAATTTTTAAAACCCGAAACCTTTGTAGGGGCAGTTAAAGCCATAAACCAGAAGATTTTATCTGTGCTCGATGAATCTGAGTCGGGCAGGGTCGATTTGGGCATGTTTTTTGCTATTCTTGCTCCACTATGCGGTGGTCCTGGTGAAAAGAGAAAGCAAATTGCATACGAGTCACTTCTATGGAGACCTGTGAATGAAGGCAGTCCACACATAAAGAAATCTGATGCTTTGAGATACATCAAGCTTTTGAGGGCCATTTACATCCCTTCACATGGGATTAGTGAGATGTTGGAAATTCATGGGGAAATCGATAATTCGTTGGTCTCGATGGCAGAGTTTGTTACGATGTTTGATGATCGAGAATGGGGTTTTAGTATTTTGTCTATTTTGTTGAAACTCGAAACTGGTGACAGGACTCGACACGGCCGGCACATGTGTGCCACCTGTCGGTATCCAATAATCGGGTCTCGATTTAAGGAAATGAAATCTCACTTTAGTTTGTGCAGTCAATGTTATTGTGAAGGAAAAGTGCCTTCTTCTAGCAAGTTGGAAGAGTATAGGTTTAAGGAGTATGCAAATGAGGCTGAGGCTGTGAAGGATAAGTGCTTGTGGTTTGGTTCTAAAGGCTCATCACCTGGTGGTGGCTCTTAGTCTTAGGTGTTTGGATGATTTTAGGAATTTTAAGTATAGTGGTTGAGTGTGATTTATTTTATTAACTTGTGGAGTGTTTTTTAGGGTTTTTCTTTGTTTGCATTGTATANCATTCTCAAAGGGTTTTTTGCTCCATTATTGTTAGAGTTTGATTTGTCTGACATTTGAGAGGTGTTGAGCCTGCATGTAAAAATTAATGTACCATTGTTTGATAATTCACTAAAAAATAAAATGTTTCTATATTGTATTGTTCATCAATTATTTGGTTTGAGTTGCATGTATCACATTAACTAAAGTATCATTCAAACTTTGGATTATTAAGATTCAGTCACATGATGAGCAATTTATCAAAATTGGCGGTTGACCATCAACAAAATTTATCGAAAATTTATCAAAGTTTAATGAATGCACAATAATGTTAAGTGAAATGCATATTATTAGGCGTAGATGTGCACATTAAAAGTACCAACATAAATTACACAATTGTCACCGCCTGCATATTTAAAAGTTCACGAATTTACGAAAAATGTTGCTGCTCTACAAAACGCACAATAGTGTTAGACGAAATGCATATTAATGTCCGCGAGAGTATACATTAGTGCACCAGTGTATTCTACATAATGACGAAAATACCTCAAGTGAAAAATTCAAAGTATACATAATTACAACAATACCACCATCCATTTAAAATAAAGCAAGATCTTTTGATTGTATGACATCTAATCGCTACATTTCATTCTTATTTCTTACTAGTATTCAACCTGTGCAAAATGCACAGATATAAATAAAGTATTGTGAAATATTTATTTTTTAAATTGCGTTTATCATGATGTAATGTATATTTTGGTATGTATTTTTTTTTTGAATTATTTATTATTTATTTAGGAACTTCAAATACGTTTTTTATATTCCAAAAGAAGTTAATTTAAATATAACCACAACAATGACATCTAATCACGTTAAATAGTCAACACATTATATGGTCAATCAAAAGTTTAGAATAATTTTTGTAATTTTGAAGTGATTAGTGTCTTGATTATCTAATAATTAAAAGAGAGATTAAATAAATAAAAAGTAACGATTTTTGGAGAAAAAAAGTTATATTGCCACATAGGAATAATTTAATAGGTTTTATTAAATGCTCATAAGCCAGCAATTATATATAGATATATAGATACTGTGACGCATCTAATCATAAAAATATATATTTAATTTTATTTATATAATCAAAATATCATATCTATACAATAAAATAATTAGGTAAGTTTTCCGATTATATAAATAAGTCTCGAAGGCCAACCAGAGGAATCCAAATATACACACACAACATACACGCTGCGGCGGCGTGAGGAGCTGTTCCTTCGATGCACAGGTCTGTGCGAAAATTAATTCTGAAAATCAACTTTTCATTCATTATTTGTGATCGCTCTTCCAGTTTAGGTATTAATTCTGCATAATTTGTCATCTTCGCTAGCCTTTTGTTTCTGTAAATTTCTTACGCTATCGTAATAGAATCCGAGATACATCTCTGTTATCGGTCCTATGGAAATCGAAATCTTTAATCATCTTGTTAATCTGTTAGTTAGATTTCGTGATTGTTTGGTTTGAATACATGGCTATTCCTCAATTTATTCGAAATCTCTGGTGGATTTTTCCGTTTTAGGGCTCATCTTTTTTTGGTAGTTCTTGTGTTCTTCGATTTGTTCCTATTCTCGTGTTGCTTTTGGTGTTCTTTTGTTGTAATTCTGCCCAATCTTCTGATATAAGTCAGGAATTCATATTGCTGAGTGAAAAATAAAAGGTGGATTGTTTTGAATTCTTGTGCTTGTTTGTGCTTTAATCTCTCTCTCTCTCTCTCTCTCCCTCACACACACAAATTTTCGTTTTATGTTTCTGGCTTGTAACATATGATATTTTAAGAAGGATGATAATTTGAGTGTTCCTAGATAGATGTGTGGTGTAGTGTTGTATTGTCAGATGGTTTACAAAGGGAGTTGAGTATTATGTTGAATTTGGTGAGGTGGGTGTGGGGTGGATTGATGGACATTATTTAGATCACGTGGTATTGGTTCAAGCAGGATATTGCGGGGAAGCTGAGCTGGTGTGGTGTGCTCGTGTATTGAGGAGTTGTAAAGTTTGGACTAAGTGTTAGAAAATGAGTGGTAGAAGCAGGAGCAGGAGCCGTAGTTGGAGTAGAAGCCGGAGCAGGAGCCCGAGAGGTCACAGGATTCGCAATGAGCGGACCTCTTATGATACTCGTCACAGGAGGGAGGGACGTCAGGGTTTCAGGTTATTTTTGGTTTTCGAAGTTTTTGTTGTAAATCAGTTTGATGGGAAAAATATAATTAAGGGCGTGGCATGTAATATGTTAAGACTTGAATACATTTTTATTAAAAAGAAATTAATTGTGTATCGCACGATGGTCTTGGTCACTAGGTGGGGATGCAGAACCTCGAATAATGAAGATGACAGTGTGTCTCATGTGGATTTGACGTGTTATTCTTTTAAACTTATGGATTACAAGAGTTCGGATATCATTTATCTTCTGGAAATTTTGAGTATTGTCTTGATGGCTTTGTAATCTTTCTTGGCTGTATAGCTTCAAGGTTATATAAATTTTAGTTATTTGCTATTTTCAACTGGTATTTGGAGAGATTATATGTCAAAACTGAACAAAAAAACGTGATCTTATTTGTTATTTCTGTTTGATTGCTGGGACATTGGAGTAAGATTTGCAACTAGGAAGCTTGCTTTAAGGTTTAAAACTTGTCCAGTATTTTCCCTATAGTCAATTAAGTACTGTTTGGCTGAAATTTTTGTAGTCATGGAATTTTTTTTCTCATTGGAACACGAGCCTCAGGTTGGTATCTCACATTTCAACCTGTACATGTTTCCATAATGGTAGGCTTAGCATATCCGCCTTTCTGATCTTGAAGTAGGTTCCTGTAAGTACTTATAATCCTTCAATCGAGAAGACATCAATGAGTTATCTCGGTGGCAAAAGTAAGAATAATATGAGAGAGATTTATTCATACTGGTGCTAGTAGTATCTTCTTACTAAAGGAAGAATCTCAGGGTGCTGTCAGAGTTATTCTCATGTTGTGGTCAATGGTTCTTTGTTGCATTTATAGGTTCATGCTTCTTATGTACCGAATTAACAATTTCTGGACCTTGTTATAGTCACTCCAGTCTTTTGCTGGTAGAAGAATAACCTTGACTAAGGATCAGGACTTTTGTCTACATCTTACCTCAAGTTATTTTATCTCTCTCTCTTTCTCTCTCTTGTAAATGCAAACACCCAACCAATTATTGAAGGCTTACTTCTGACCCATGCATTGTGGTATAAAGTATGTATGAGGTGTCAATCCCCTTCTATTTGACATATTTAACCGAAAATCACTACTTGACTAATTTCTGCTATCGTTCTTCGCTTCATATTCATCCTCGTCGAATTTGTTTTGCAGCCAAAACAACTTGTGTAACAACTGCAGGCGGCCAGGCCACTTTGCCAGAGAATGCCCTAATGTGGCTGTCTGCAAGAACTGTGGCCTTCCCGGGTAAAGAAAGTTCCCTTCATTAATTAATTACAGTCTATCCTCATCTTCACGACATACACATGATTATATATAATTAATTAATTATTATTTTTTTTTTAAGGCACTATGCAGCGGAATGCAATTCAGAGGCTCTTTGCTGGAACTGCCGCGAACCCGGGCACACGGCCAATTTCTGCCCTAACGAGGGCGTCTGCCACACGTGCGGAAAGCCCGGCCACCGCGCTAGGGACTGCTCGAATTCCGAGACTGTGGACCCCACGGACCAGAAGCTCTGCAACAACTGTTTCAAGCCTGGCCATTTCGCGGCCGAATGCACTAACGACATGGCCTGCAAGAACTGCAGGAAAACGGGCCACAAGGCCCGCGACTGCCAGGACGACCCAGTCTGCAACACGTGCAACGTGGTGGGCCACAGGGCCAAGCAATGCCCTAAGGCCAACAACGGTGGGGCCCGTTTTGGTGGCGGTGGGGCCCGTTTTGGAGGTGGGGCCCGTTTTGGTGGCGGCGGATACCAAAGGGATGTCATGTGCAGGAGTTGCAATCAGTATGGCCACATGAGTAGGGATTGTATGGAGTTGATTACGTGCAGGAATTGTGGGGGGAGAGGACACATGGCGTATGAGTGTCCGTCTGGGAGGACTGTTGACCGATTTCCACGCAGGTATTGAAAGTTGAAACTTTTACCGGCTTTTTTGGGTGGTGTTGAGATATCGGGAGCCTGATATAATAATGTTTCTAACTGAACTGGCAATATTATGATTTTGGTGCTTTTTGGGAGTAATTTGAGTGTGTTGGTGATTTTCGGTTATGCTGTTATGCGAAAGCGGCAGACTACATTTGTCGTGTGAGATTTGTTTTGAAGTGACTTGAAGTAGTAGTACTTGTTTTTTTGTGTGAGACTTTGAATGGATTAGTTGGTTTTGTCCTTGGTCTTTTTGGAGCTTTTGATGATTTGGGTTGTGGGAGATTTGTTGAAGATTGAAACGATTCTGTTTCTGAGGAACATTTTTTCTCATTTGCTACAATACAACAAGTAATTGTGTGTTTCTTTTATATTCTTTTCCTTTTTTTTTGATGAATCTACTCGATTTTTATTTTTATTTTTAATTCCTAATTTGAAATGCAATGACATGTTTGTACCAACTTGTATCGATTGGAATTTTTAGCATGTACATGTACTACAACACTAGTATATTAGATGTTTATATAGGTTCATTCGATCAATTCACAAGTTCACATACCATATGGGTGTGTTTTGTGTTGATCTAACTATTGACTGCATTAGGGTGAAATATTCCGTTTATATAATTGGTTGTTGGACGTTTGAGCAACCAATGGTCCAATCAATCTTGGCCATTACTCATTGTTGTGATGTTACATCGTATAGTTTGATAAGGCTTTAAGCTTTAGGAAACGGAAGGAAACATATAGGAGGGTGAAATTTGACTTGTTCTATCATGTGTCTTCATTTACATTTCAAAAATTTATGATGATTATGTTTAATTCATCATATGATTTGGATCATATCCAAGGTGGTGGTATCTGATTAAGGAAAACAACAGCTTATTATACTAGTAAGTCTAATACTACTGCAACACTCGGTGTAATATGTGAGTTTCAATTAAGAAATTAACACTTATTTTTTAAGATAATATAGAAACTTATATTTTAAAACTGTGAATACTCTTAGAAAGATACATTAGTATTTTTTTCTCATAAAGGTAGATATGATTATTTTTTTCTTATTTTATATATACAATATGCATATCAAATTAAATATTGTTAAAATATAATTGATTTTAAATATTGTCTAAAGCATAAATACGTTAATATACAATGGTGAATGAGTAATAATTGGGTACAAAGAAGAAAAATCATATAAATGCATTTGCATAATTAGTATTTAAAAATACAAAAGTTAAATAGCATGTGTTGGGACTTGGGAGACGATAGCATTACTATAATCTTTGTTGTGTTATATATAGAAGCATAATTCTATGAACCAATTAAGACAAGGCTATAGTAAAACACAATCCTCTTGTTAAATACATCTTATCATGTATTTTTGTTACGGATGTTTCTAACATTCTATTGGTGGATTTGGTCACTGCCTCTAAACAAAATCCTTCTTTTCTTACAAGCATAGACCGTTGCAAGTTGTATGTAAGTGGGGACAAAAGTGAAACCCAAGAAATCTCAGTATGTGGGCAATAGTCTAATAGTACAACGGTCTAATTATCAGAATTTTGTATTCTGTAAAATATTGTTATAATTTTCTGTTGGTTTATCTTGGTCAGTCAAGATTTGGTTATAAATTGGTAATACACACAAACATAGCAAATACCACCACACAAGGCAGAAAAAAGAAGATTCAAAGACAAAATAATGGAGAACACATTTTTCAAAAACTTGTGTTTCTCTCTGTTTTTCGCTTTTATGCTCGCCGGATTAGGAGGTGTCGTTCGAGGTCAAACTCACGACCCTTCTTCTTTGACCAAAACCGAGCCTCCACAAATGAAAGAACTTAATGTCGAAAAAGGTGAGAAGACTCACAATGAAGTTGTCGTGAAAGATAAGAAAAAGAATGGCGCCGGAAGTGGTGGTGGCGGC